ATTATTTTTTTTTTGGGGGGGGGGGGGGGGCGGATTAAAGGGATGGTGTCCTATAATTGTTAGTTTAGTGACATTAAGGTAGAGATGGGGGTAGACAGGTTTAGAAATAGGGGGTGAGGGTATTAAAGGGATGGCGTCCTATAATTGTTAGTTTATGATAAGAAATTAAGGTAGATGGGTTTAGAAATAGGGGGGTGGGGTATTAAAGGGATGGTGTCCTATAATAGTTAGTTTAGTGACATTAAGGTAGAGATGGGGGTAGACAGGTTTAGAAATAGGGGGGTGGGGTGAGGTTAAAGGGATGGTGTCCTATACTTGTTAGTTTAGTGATATTAAGGTAGGGGTGAGGGTAGACAGGTTTTGAATTAGGAGGTGGGGATGGTTATTAGGTCATATCTATGCAAGCTTCCTATTGTGAGAATTCAGATTTTTGTATTGTGATTTATGAGTAAAGTATGAAAGCCCTTTAATACTTAGTAAAATTTTACTTTTTGAAACAATTCACAACACAATGTTGTTTGTATTCTAAAAATTATTATTCTTTTTACAGTGACAGCAGTTTGAGAAGTTATTAGTATGCAAAGTTTTAAATCCCTTTTGACAAACAGATCTTTTTTTTATATATGGTGAGTTTTTTATAATTAACTTTCTGGTTTTTCTGAAAACTACTTGATTTATTTCTCAGGTATTCCAACTGTTAGGCCTAGGTTTAAGCAAGGGGGAATCTTGTGAATTTTTGTGAGGGGACTTTCTGTTACTTAAGGGATGTAGTCCCTTAATTGTTATATTTCAGAGTATGGTGCAAGTGAAAAAAAAACTTTTGACATGATTCAAATGCAGATGTTAATGTTAAGTTTCTTTTTTATTTGCAGGTGAATCCACTAACCCTGATTTAACAAACTTCATCTAGAATGAATGACCATCCAGAGTTGTCATAGTTTATGCTAACCAATCCAAAGTACTTTTAAAAATGGTAAGACACTACATCTACTAGTCCAATTAAAACAATAGATACCCTGCAATTCCTGACATACAGCAAGGAAATCTTATATGGTACACAATATTTGATACATACATTACTTACTGTGTATTAGTGGGTTGAATACTAAATGGCCCAGAACAGGACATGAATAACAAATTGGTCAGATCATGTATGCTAAGTGGAGTCACTTGCATAAAATAATAGGAAACATTCCTGTTTTTGCTATTTAATTTGAATAAATGATTTATTACAGGTATGAAATCTTCTCATCAGTTAGAAACTTGTTGGTCTATAGATATCAAATTATGTTCCAGTGAGCTGTTAAATGGTGAGTCTTCTTTATTAGTCAACAAACTACCTTGCCCTCCAAGATTGATTCTTTATTCGTGCCACCTTAAGGGATGTCCCTTGTGCCACAGGTTGCGCTTGCTGATTGAGGAAATTAACAATGAGGAAGCTAATGCTTCAATCGTCAAAAATTGCCCACATTGTACACTGCATACTGTCTTTGTAACCCAATCAGGTACAGAAAAGTATTATATATTATATCTATATACATACTGAAAGGGATGCAGTTCTATAATTGTTTAGTAGCGAAATATCCCTTTATTTATTTTTTTATTTTAGTAAATTTTACATTCATTTTCTATTTCAGATATTGAGTGTTGTCAGTTTAATTATTGAAATACAACATGTGTTTCAACATCTTAATAATTGGTGAGTTTCTCTTAATTAAGTTGATATTTGATATTTGTAAAATATTCCATTAGGAACAGGCTCGCTGACAGTAACACCAATATTTTTACTTGTAAACACTAATTTTGTAGAGCTGAGCTCTTTATTCAGAATAGTGATAGGAATAGTTGACATTGATCTCTATCAGCTGGTTTAACAAATATTTAGACAACTTGATCTTTTTAAAATATTTAACGCTACTATTGTCTGACTCTTCTTGAGTCTCAAGAGTCATTTGTATGTATGATATTGCCTCAAAATCACTTATTTTCCCTTATTATTGTAGGTAGATCAATGCATGGCCTAGTTAGAGCAACCAGAAAACACAGGCGGAGCTTTAAAAGTTATGTAAGTTATATTTTATTCTCTATAACTTAAAGGGATACATGGTAGTAAGACTGCAAGTAACTACAAGATATCTTATACATGTAGAAGGCTCAATCTGTGCTGGATGTTTTGCGAAATTATCCCTTTACACATGCTTTACAAGAATATTCTAGTATTAAACCACAGAATGATTCTCACAGTACATCTTGTTGCTCTCCTTATATGTAGCTCCTTATATTTGCCCCTGTCAAAGTGCATCCTAGAAACCGTCCGTCTGGGTGTATTTTATTGCACTCTGGTCGTTTTGACCAATTAAGATCCTGGATCAGTCATCTGTTCTGGAACCTCTATGTCTAATGAATTGTGCCAATGCTTTTTTTCATCGAAACTTGTCATTTTCTCTTCTGCTCATATACCTGGTAAACTTGCCTAGTAATCACCAGACATTATAATGTGGTTGTATTTTGTTGTTGCCCCTGTCTGATGGTCCATCCACAATTTGCTTGTTAACACAAGAGGCTACAGTATTTGATTTTAATGAAATTTGGTGTGATCATTTATATTGATGAGATCTTGGTCTGGTTTGAATTTGACAAGTTGAAATAGGACGATCTTTCGATAATTGGTTTTTGTGTTGTTAAACTTGACTTAGGAAAAATGCATCAAAATTTGTTCGTGAACGCAGTACAGACTACAGTTTTTGTCTGATTTGAATGAAATTTAGTGTGATCATGTATATTGATGAGATCTTGGACAAGTTGGAATTTGACGATATTTCGATGATTGGTTTTTGAGTTATTAAACTTTGCATCAAAATTTGTTCGTGAACACAATAGAGACTACAGTTTTTACCTGTTGGGATCATTTATATTGATGAGGTCTTGGAAGAGTTGGAATCTGATGAATGGTTTTTGAGTTATTGCCCTTAACTTAAAAGAAATGCATCAAAATTTGTTTGTGAACACAGTAGAGAATACAGTTTTGATCGTATTTAAATGAAATTTGGTGTGATCATCTATAACAGAGATTTTTCAATAAACATAACTTGAGTTGTTGCCGTCGACTTGGTAAAAATGCATCAAAAGATAGAGGTAACAGTTTATGTCTCAGAATTTTATCTGTTCGTTTAAATCAACAATATCTATTACAAGTTAGATTTTTGAAAGGATTTGACACAGATTGGCGACCACCCTTGATATAATGAAAATTTGGGCGTATCTTACTAGAAATATTATCTATTTTTTGACACACAAGCCAAGATTGTTGTTGTCAAAAGCAATGTTTGCTGGCTTGCTATTTCTCATACTGAATTGCATCTGTTGGATATTGAACCTTTTGCTGGATATAAACCACATCTGTAGGAATGCCACTTTTGAAGATCATATCCAAATTTGTCTCAGAGAGCCACCCCATATGCTGCATCTGTTGAAATGCCATATTTTGGGGGTACCAAGTTTGTTGAACACAGTGGAAATAGAAGGACAGGGCCACTTTTTCTGGGAGTATGACACATTTTTTCGACACAGCCATGCCTGATTGGCTTTTGATGGATAATCACTCTTGTTTTGCATAAACCACAGTTGTTGAATTTTTCACATAAGTGTTAATTTTAGGAAATCTCCCTTTCACAGTAGGGATAAATTGGGTATTGCCATTTGCTAAATTGGATGGTCGGTCAGTGTGACACTCTGGAAGTGGTCATGCAGTAGGTGAGGGGACCACTTTGCTGCATGATCCTCGAAGGTGGTGTCATGTGTCCTACGGCAAATATTGGAAATGGTATAAATCTGACATTACTCATTTTGTCCATACCTTGAAAGAGGATTCAAAGTTGATGAAAACATGACACGGTTGCTGAATTCGTGACAACATCTGTAGGCCATATGCTGCATCTGTAGAAATGCCATATTTTGCTTATCATAGGCACATTAGTCGAACAGCTACATTGGATGGGGTACCAAGTTTGTTGAACACAGTGGAAATAGAAGGACAGGGCCAGTTTTTCTGGGACTATGACACATTTTTTCGACACAGTGATGCCTGATTGGCTTTTGATGGATAGTCACTCTTGTTTTGCATAAACCACAGTTGTTTAATTTTTCACATAAGTGTTAATTTTAGGAAATCTCCCTTTCACAGTAGGGATAAATTGGGTATTGCCATGTGCTAAATTGGATGGTCGGTCAGGGTGACACTCTGGAAGTGGTCATGCAGTAGGTGAGGGGACCACTTTGCTGCATGATCCTCGAAGGTGGTGTCATGTGTCCTACGGCAAATATTGGAAATGGTATAAATCTGACATTACTCATTTTGTCCATACCTTGAAAGAGGATTCAAAGTTGATGAAAACATGACACGGTTGCTGAATTCGTGACAACATCTGTAGGCCATATGCTGCATCTGTAGAAATGCCATATTTTGCTAATCATAGGCACATTAGTCGAACAGCTACATTGGATGGGGTACCAAGTTTATTGAACACAGTGGAAATAGAAGGACAGGGCCAGTTTTTCTGGGAGTATGACACATTTTTTCGACACAGTGATGCCTGATTGGCTTTTGATGGATAGTCACTCTTGTTTTGCATAAACCACAGTTGTTGAATTTTTCACATAAGTGTTAATTTTAGGAAATCTCCCTTTCACAGTAGGGATAAATTGGGTATTGCCATTTGCTAAATTGGATGGTCGGTCAGGGTGACACTCTGGAAGTGGTCATGCAGTAGGTGAGGGGACCACTTTGCTGCATGATCCTCGAAGGTGGTGTCATGTGTCCTACGGCAAATATTAGAAATGGTATAAATCTGACATTACTCATTTTGTCAATACCTTGAATGAGGATTCAAATTTGATGAAAACATGACACGGTTGCTGAATTCGGGACAACATCTGTAGGCCATATATGCTGCATCTGTAGAAATGCCATATTTTGCTAATCATAGGCACATTAGTCGAACAGCTACATTCGATGGGTACCAAGTTTATTGAACACAGTGGAAATAGAAGGACAGGGCCACTTTTTCTGGGAGTATGACACATTTTTCGACACAGCCATGCCTGATTGGCTTTTGATGGATAGTCACTCTTGTTTTGCATAAACCACAGTTGTTGAATTTTTCACATAAGTGTTAATTTTAGGAAATCTCCCTTTCACAGTAGGGATAAATTGGGTATTGCCATTTGCTAAATTGGATGGTCGGTCAGGGTGACACTCTGGAAGTGGTCATGCAGTAGGTGAGGGGACCACTTTGCTGCATGATCCTCGAAGGTGGTGTCATGTGTCCTACGGCAAATATTGGAAATGGTATAAATCTGACATTACTCATTTTGTCCATACCTTGAAAGAGGATTCAAAGTTGATGAAAACATGACACGGTTGCTGAATTCGTGACAACATCTGTAGGCCATATGCTGCATCTGTAGAAATGCCATATTTTGCTAATCATAGGCACATTAGTCGAACAGCTACATTCGATGGGTACCAAGTTTATTGAACACAGTGGAAATAGAAGGACAGGGCCAGTTTTTCTGGGAGTATGACACATTTTTTCGACACAGTGATGCCTGATTGGCTTTTGATGGATAGTCATTCTTGTTTTGCATAAACCACAGTTGTTGAATTTTTCACATAAGTGTTAATTTTAGGAAATCTCCCTTTCACAGTAGGGATAAATTGGGTATTGCCATTTGCTAAATTGGATGGTCGGTCAGGGTGACACTCTGGAAGTGGTCATGCAGTAGGTGAGGGGACCACTTTGCTGCATGATCCTCGAAGGTGGTGTCATGTGTCCTACGGCAAATATTAGAAATGGTATAAATCTGACATTACTCATTTTGTCAATACCTTGAATGAGGATTCAAAGTTGATGAAAACATGACACGGTTGCTGAATTCGGGACAACATCTGTAGGCCATATATGCTGCATCTGTAGAAATGCCATATTTTGCTAATCATAGGCACATTAGTCGAACAGCTACATTCGATGGGTACCAAGTTTATTGAACACAGTGGAAATAGAAGGACAGGGCCACTTTTTCTGGGAGTATGACACATTTTTCGACACAGTGATGCCTGATTGGCTTTTGATGGATAGTCACTCTTGTTTTGCATAAACCACAGTTGTTGAATTTTTCACATAAGTGTTAATTTTAGGAAATCTCCCTTTCACAGTAGGGATAAATTGGGTATTGCCATTTGCTAAATTGCANGGTCGGTCAGGGTGACACTCTGGAAGTGGTCATGCAGTAGGTGAGGGGACCACTTTGCTGCATGATCCTTGAAGGTGGTGTCATGTGTCCTACGGCAAATATTGGAAATGGTATAAATCTGACATTACTCATTTTGTCCATACCTTGAAAGAGGATTCAAAGTTGATGAAAACATGACACGGTTGCTGAATTCGTGACAACATCTGTAGGCCATATGCTGCATCTGTAGAAAT